ATTATGTAAATTATGTAAATGTCCATCCATGCCTGATAAAACACAAAGAAGAACATGACACACACACGAGAAAGAGAGTCTGCTTATTCCACTCTTTTTAATGGGGGTTGTTCAAAGTGGTGAAAATGAAGCTGCTGATAAGATTTGACAGAAAAAAATGTCTTATTTCATAGACTTTGTCAGGTTATAAGGGTTTTTGACCCAAGGTTTTGTTTGTTATTATGGGTTTGTGTTGTTCATTTAGCCTATTGTTTGCTGGGCTGTTACTTGTACAGACTTCTGTTTGAGTTATTATTATAGTAGTTTGTGGCTTTGTAACATTTGAAAAATTATGAAATCTGTACATTTTTAGTTAAACTACTGTGAAGACATCAACGTAATATATTTAACAAATTGTGTTAAAGTGTCTAAAGTGTTTATTTATTTATTGTCATGCCTGTTCCCGCAGTTTCCCATAAATTTTGCTTGGTTTGTTCCCTGCATTCAGGTTGAGGAGTCATATGATGATAACGAAGCTTTGATTCCACAATCCCAAGAAACGATGTAGAAAATTAATAAAATCGATATCAGTTGATAATAATCTGCCGATTGCCTCGTTGAAAAAACTCGTATTCTGTGGGGGCTTCGTTAGTCGCTCATTACGCCCAGGTTAAAGACTAATGACAGTTAATTCTCTCCTACCTGTAGCACGTGGAGTTTTTGCGCCTATATCTAAATAAATAAATACTGCAGGTTGGACACTTATTTGTGGGACATGTACCAGTTGTTGGATTTGGAGTGTTCCTTTCACAGCGCAAAATCTTTGAACCAGAGCACTAAAATCAGTCGCAAAGGTGATATACTAAGATTAGTGGCAAACAGCAAGCAGGACTTTCTGCTCTTACGTTTATTTGGAAAGCATACATGGCAGGAATCGCCAGTTTTAAGCACGGTGCCAGAGTTTCGTGGTTGTTGTAGCGTCTTCCTGACCTTGTTAATCACCCAAAATATTTAGAACAAAGCATCACATATTTCTGGCAGAAATACTCACACACATATATATTGTTGTGCATTTGGAGCACATTTTGCATTTTATATAAGAACATTAGCAGTGCAATGAAATATTTATTTTATGCTTTCATGTTCACAAACACAGGTCAGCAATAATCATAGAATTATTACCTTTTGTATGGCTTGCTCAGTGTGCACAACTTGTATTTTATTTGCTGCAAGCATTTACCTATATCAGTATTTTATAGAAAGGTTCAACATTATGCTTCTCTCATAATTATAGACTAGCTTAACAAATTTACAAGGTATAAATATATTGTTTAGCAAGCTTGTAAATGAATGCGCCACTACACAGCTCCTCGCCCTCTGGTGGTGTCACAAGACATTACAACGGTTTTCCTAAATGCCACATAGGGGCGTTACTACTCATGGTTGCATGGCCCTGTCAGGTATAAGGCAGTATCTGTATTTCCTGGATTTGTTTTTTGCCTGTGGACAATTTTTGCGTCACCGCGCCTTTTGCTAACTTTCGCCTGCCTTCCTTAGTCCACATCCGGATCCTTCTTCGCTGTCCATCACCAAACATTAACACATTTCAAGTTCTATAAGATAGGTGTGGGTTTAAAAAATGTAGTTTGAATAATGCGATATCGATTCATTAAATTACGAATCGATTTTTAAATATAAATGTTCGTGCTGTCAGTGGTAATCTCGTTAAAATGACGTTAATGCCATAACTGCATTAACGCGGCAAATCTCCGTTAGCGAGTTAGCACGGATCGCCCTGTCCAAGGGGCTGCATGCCGTCAACGCATTAGCACGGTTAGCTAGTTATACATTAGTACCGTGCAGCCCCATGCACGGGGTGATCCGCGCTAACTTGCTAACGGAGATTTGCCACGTTAATGCAGTTATGGCGTTAACATCATTTTAACGAGATTAACGCTGACAGAACTAATAAATGTATTTTGCCAGAAATGCCAGGATCTCAGGTTAACCCTCTGGTGGGTATAATTGGCCGTTTTTGACTACTTTTGATTTTACCTCTATATTTCACCTTTAAAATATGTTTTTCTTGCCTTGTTTGGTA